CTATTTTAAGAAACCAACATTAAATTTAGTAAAAAAAAAGTTTTACAACAAATACAAAATACAACAAATACAAAAAAAAACAAGATATTTTCAAAAAATTTTAGAGTAGACAAACATTTCTTAAAAAGAAAACAAAACCATAGTTTCTTAAAGGAGAGAAAATGTACTTTATGAGAAAAAAAAATCATTTTACAGCATGTTGAATTGTTTGCAGGTTTTAGTGTGCATCGTGAAATGTACACATTTCCAGGCTATACAAAGAAAATATTCAACAAGTTGAAAGGGACCGGCCCGGAAAAAATCCTTACCACTTTCCAGGTGGTGAGCGGATTCGAACTCGGGACCTCTAGGTTCGCAGCCCCTGCACTCAGGCCGCGAGACCACTGGGCCACAGTATATACTGTGACTGGGCCGGTCCCGAGATATCACGCTATTTCAGGCATTAAAAACGAAAGCAATAATGCTTAACCGCTGGCTGCTAGTCACCCGGTACACTATCGCGTAAGTAGCGCCATCTTTTAAAACAGTCAAATTAAAACAAGGATAGACATGTGTCTCTTTATGTATATATATGTAGAAATAAAAACACATTAACCCCTTCCCGTGCCATTTAGCTCGACGAAACTCGGGCCAAAGCGGTAGGCATTGACGCGCGCTGAACAGACCAGACTGATTATGTTTGGCCCAAGTAACTGTTCGCGAGTCAGACTCGCGATATTCATGTTTGGGCAAAAATCTTCATCGCGAGTCTGACTCGCTAAAGTACGAGAAGGGGTTAAAAAATAAATAGGGCAAACAGTGCATAAGTAAGAAGAAAAAGATTATAACAAATAGATATATGCCGAAAGTTGAATAAGTTTATGTCAAAATTAATAGACTTTATTCTTATAAAAATATGACGGTGAAACAATTTGATAATATATAAAATTAATTATATACATATGATACATTAATTTTTCCTTAACAGACTTAGAAGATTTTATTTTTTTCTTTTATTTTCCGTTTTAATTATCCGTTATTACGATCGACGCCGTCCCAACGATATCCAGGTTTAATTCGAAGTCGATTTGGCGCGTAATATCCTTGATATTGTAACGGATCTAGAATTGAGATTATTAAATAATGACGATGTCTTTCTCTGAGATATATAATATGTATGTAATATACGAAAGACTGTGTCAAAATAATATTAATAATATTTTTTTCGAATATTTAT